CTTTTCCAGAAACTCTGGCTCTTAGTGTTGTACGTGGCACATTGTACAATGTTGCTGCCTTACGCACTGAAAATGATGGCTCTGATCTGACATGCTTAATTGCACTCATCATATTTTCTTCACTCCATTTCAGAAGTTTGCATCGTTTCTTAACAGTGACTGATTGATCAATGGACTGATTGGAACCATTGACACGAGTTAAAGAAACATCAATTGTTGGTAGCTGTTTCATTTGACAAATCTAAAGAGTACTATTACCAGATGTTGAAGAAGTTCATCATGAAGATGAGTTGTATTATAACATATTGTAGCCTCTTTAACAGAAGTAATCTTTCCAACCGACATCCGGTAAAATCTTGGTGATAATCTACATCCCCTCTTGTTTTAACCGAGTTTTTTTTCAAGACAATTCCTAAATAAATTAAATAGCAGTATGAATGTCATATTAATTTAATAAAGTGCTCCAAATTTACAAGAGCTACAAATACTAACACGTGGTGAAAACCGTATGTTAGTATTTGTAACCTTATTCCAACCCTAGAACTTCGCAGTACTTAATTTACAATGAAGTAAATAAGCATTTAGCTAAGTAATTACAAAAGTCTATTAAAGAAGAATAAAAACATTCTTATTATGCATAAAATGAGTTTTGGATCTTTGAACCTAAAGTTTTAGACCTAATGTATAGTTATTTTAATAACTAAAATATTAGTTCTTAAATTGGAAATAAATAAAGTAATCTTAAATAAAATATGCATTATTTCTAAACACTAAAAAATTATTTTTAAAAAAAACATAGCATAAAAAGATATAATTCCAAATTCTTTCTTACCAATAATTATCAGAAAAAGAAAATGCAATAGCAGACAAAGTTTACATATTTGCGATACTTTCTTTGTTCTTTATTTGGTTTTGATGAACATGAGCTTTTGGTGCAATTATTCAACGCAGAGCCTAGCAATTTATTTTTTGATTAATTTTCTTAATAACAATACACAGAGGAAGAGTATTGTTTTGAAGGCAATCAAAAATAAATTAAAGTGGATATCATCAATTTTTGTCAAAGCAATTATCAAGTAAGTTTGGGGTTCATTTTTACGCTAATGCCAAGGATGTTGAATTAAGGGTATTTAATTTATAAAATAATTTTCTAAATAATGTATGATAAAAATAAATTTAAAAAATATTGTAAGCATTCAAAAAGATTATGCTCTTAATATGTATCCTTACGAAATTTTATGATTTTTTTTTTCAATTATTTTTTAAATATATCATCCCAATTTAATGAAAAAATAATGGGGGTCACGGCAAAAAGTTTTTTTTGTTAAAACTGCTGGTAGCGTAAGTCTTAATATATTATGCTGCATCTATTCTCGCCCACCCGGGCGAAATAAAGGGTGGAATGCAAGAAGCAAACTTGAGTCAAGTTCGACTTGAACTTTACTTTGTAACCAATAGCGGCAGAGTATTTTTTGAGGGAAAACCCATACTTTGTCGCTACTGGTTGCAATGTAAAGTTCAAGTCGAGTTTGACTCAAGTTCGCTTCTTGCATTTCACCCTAAATGCATTAAGCGACATTTTATTTATTCTGTGGGCAAGATTGAGTTAATTTGGTAGGTTGAGTAGAAAATAAATTTATGCATATTCTACCATTGCAAACAATTATAAATGTTATTACAATCAGAGATTAAACAGTGGAGAACAATTAAATTATAATTTAATATGCATAATAAATAATTAACTTGGTAGATTTGCATCAGCTGGTTTGAATTCGGCAAGTTAAGTAGCAAAAATTACCAAAAATCAACAAATTTTCATTACGAGAATCTTTTTTAATTGCGATTCTTTTGAGGCCAAAAGTTGTTTTAATGTTGATAAGGCTGGTTTGCTGCTCTAAAAGAACGTCTTTTTGATGGTGCAGCGTTAACTGACATATAAGCAATTAAAGATGGTGGGCGAGATTGAGTGATGGGCAAAATTATGTACAGTTACCCTAGAGTATTTGAATAGATGAAAGTACTACTTTTGAAATTTTTTTGAACTAAATATTTTTTAATTGCAATTATTGAAAAAATTAATGTCCACTTTTTTTTTTTTTTTTTTTTGCTTTTTTTGTTTTTAATATTTCCTTAAATTCAAAAATGTCATTTTTTTATTTGCATAAGACTTACTATTTATATTTATTTACACACTCTAAACTGGTTGAAACGTGACAAAAAGATTTTACTGCAAAATATTTTAGAAAAGTTTTGAGAAGCCATATTGACAATAAAAATTAGTGTATGTATTTTCCAATAAGAATAAGATTTACAATCGCAGTTTATATGAACAAATACTTACATGACAGGGGCTAGATAAACACAAACTTAGTCATATCACCAAGCCCCAACAATATTATTGTTAAGTAAATTTTTTTTTTTTATTTAATTTTTTTTATGCAAAGTATTTACATGGCCGCCGGCACGGGTTTTACAGGAGGGGCACAATCGTCAATTTCTGAAAAAAGTCCTCTGTATCTTGAATCTTTTTTAAATAAAAACGGCCTTTTAGAAAAAAGTGTGTGCGTGGGGGGGGGGGAGGGGAAGGAGAACGTGCCCCTGACTCCACCCGTGTTGTCAGCCCTGATTTATAACAACAGTTTTTGCTATTCTTTTTGTTCATTTATAATAAATTTAAATTACACTAAAACATTATTTTTAATTATATTCCTTTTATTACATAAAAAACCTCTATGTGCATTGTACTATATATTACAAAAATATTTTAAAATGTTTTATCTAATATTTTTACATACTAAAACTTTTTGATTAAGGTTTGATTAAATTTGAGTGAACTTAAAAGTTTTTTTATCAATACACCTTCTTTTAGAAACAGGGAAACTTGTCAGAAAAACAAAAAAACATTCGAGTAAATATATCTATGTCAGCAGCTGTAAGAAAGAAATAATTGGGATTAAAAAAAGCATGCAATCTGTTCAATATACCACGGGGTACTTTGCAAAGAAGGTACAGACATAATTTGAATTCTGTACAAGCGTCGTTGAAGCCACTTGGATCAGCAAAATGTGCGTTTTCTAATAAAATGAAAAATAAACTGGTGACTTTTATCAAACATAGGGAGGCAATACATTTTGGTTAAATTACTAACATCTCCATATAAAGTTTAGTTCAAAAAGTTAATAGGCTGGTACTAATTAGATATGAGGATTTTTTGCTTCTCTCCAAACTTATCTGTAAGAATGCCAGAGCTAATTAGTGCAGCGAGACTGTGCTTTCGCTGCACTAATTAGCTCAACTTTTATCAAGTCGCTGCACTAATTAGCGCAACTTTTATCAAGTCGCTGCACTGATGAGCTCAAATTTTATCAAGTTGCTGCACTAGTTAACTGGCTTTTCAAGTCAGTGTTAGAATGATTTTTAATTTGTTGCAATCGTTGCAGGAAAAGCATAACTTTTTGTTTTTTTGTTGTAAATGAATGAATGAACATCAAGTAAATAAAACTTATATATAATAGCAAACAGATAAAATATCAAAAACGAAAATTTCTTTGTTAAACAAAATTAATAAAAGGCATAGCAAAGGTGTAGCAAAGATGCACTTTGCGAATATTGTTATTTGGTAATATCTTGAGTTAGCATCTTATTTAGCCACAAAAAAAATGTAATTATTCCTAATCCTTTCAGGATCACCTTAAATTATCCTTAATCTCTTGAGTACAGAAGAAAACTGTTTTACAACAAATCTTTCAGGAATGTCTACTTTAACTTGGTTCAATATTTGTAAGGTAGGTTGACCTAATAAAGGAGTTTTCACCTTATTACAAACATATATGGTAATTAATTCACTGTTCTGACCATTAAAAATGTTTCTCGAAAAAAATCCCAAATAATTTTATTGGTTTATGATCACCACCGAATAATTGTTTGTTAGTAGCATGCAATTGTTTGATTTTAATTCCAATAGTTATAGAATTTAAATGGACAGTTCTTGTAACTGTAACTAGATAACCTGTGTAAATTTTTTATATTTAACTTCTAGTTGTATTTCTTACTAATCTTATTCTATTTCACAAAATAAGATTTTGCACTTTCTAAATACAATGCACCTTAATGCTTTTGCAAGATGGACAAGTTTTTATATCATCTTTTTAAAACTTTTAAATTAGTTATTTAGGTGCTCCAGAAGGTCCTAACAGTCTTATCACTTTATTTTTTTGTTAAAGTTTGTAAATTTGTTGTGCTTCTCATGAAACATTTTACATTTTACATTTTCATTGTAATTGTAATTGCAAATTGCAATTGCAATTACAATTACATTTTCATTTTTTGACTTTGTCTAAAAGAGAAAGGGCATCATTAGAAGAACCATCCCGAATATGACAATTGTTTTCCATAGAAGAAAAACAAGAGATTTATAGAAATAGAGAATGGAATCAGGGATGAAAAAATTGTTAAACAAATTAATTTCGTTGAATCAAGAGAAGTACTATTTCAACTGCAATGTAAAATATTTCTCTTTAGTATCCAGTCTCTTTAGCTTCTCTTTAGTATCCAGTCTTTTAGCTTCTCTTTAGTATCCAGTGTTGGCAAAAAAATGTAAAATATAGCTTCTCTTTAGTATCCAGTCTTTTAGCTTCTCTTTAGTATCCAGTTTTTTAGCTTCTCTTTAGTATCCAGTGTTGGCAAAAAAATGTAAAATATAGCTTCTCTTTAGTATCCAGTGTTGGCATTAAAAAGAAATTGCATAAAGCTGTTAATATTGATGAAATATGTTTAAAAAAAAATTTGCGTTATCAATACAAAACATGTTTCAGCTATTATATCTCATATAAAACCTAATGAACAATTACATTTATCTCAGATAAAAATTATAAGACACTATTCAACAGACTTATTTCTTATTATGAATAAAATGTTCACTTTTTGAACCTAGCTTTTAACTAAAAAAGTGATTGCAAATAACATCAAAATTACCAGCTCTAACTGATTTTGGATTTTAGGTAAACTTAAAGATGGGTATCCACAATTGAAAGAGACGTACAATTTCCTGCATAAAATGCCTCCACCTCCTATAGCACAAAAATGGAGAGATGATTATATTTGCTAGGTTTGTTTCGTTAAAAAAAACTTTTTTATATCAATTATGTGTTATATAATTAGTCTTTGCAGATTATGTGTTTCTTTAGACACTAATTGCATGACAATATTTTATCAAAGTTAGAGCTGTCAACCAAACTGCCTAACTCAGCAAGATATAACAGAGCTATCTATGTCTTACTAGCTACTTTCTACTTTTTAATAAAAGACCACCATTTACAGAATTAGCTCTCCTATTGTCCTTGGTCAAATGTATTAAATTAAATTTATAGTAAAAACAATATAGATTTGTGTATTAAGTTCTAACTTTAAATATAATGACTTCCTTGAATATAGAAAATAAATTTTTCTAAAACTATTTACATTTTTTTGGTTATATATTTTTTCTTTTTTTTTTTTTTTTTTTTTTTTTTTTTTTTGCTATAAATATTTTTTCTTTAGGCCTATCAAATTTAAAAACATTTGTTATTTTTTTCTATTATTAAAATATTAATATTTTATTAAATTTTTCTTACAACTATTCACGGTATAGAAATGGTTTCATGAGAAAATAAAAAAATTTTACCCTCAGAAGATACCTTACGGAGAGTACCCTACGGAACATACCCTATGGAAGGTACCCTACGGAAGATACGGCGATAATAGTTACTATAAACTTCCTATAATAAAAATGAAGTATTGCGTTGAAAATGATAATCGCGCTGATAATGATGATTATACCACTAGCAAAATAATAAAAGATCTTGTTAGGTTAAATAAAAATGGCGCAATGGCTTATATTATTTCAGTTGTTGCTAGGAGCCAATATTGTTCAAAACTATGTATAACGACAATAGTGAAAGTAGTAATAGCTGATTACAATTAGGAATACAAGTCATTTATATCAGTATTGTAAAAAAAAATTATTACTTTAAGTTAAAACTTTTTAAGTAATAATACTGTATTATTTACAATATACTTTATACGTATGCATCTGTATATAATTGTATTTATATGTTTACTGTAAGTAAACATACGTAATAATGTCTAAACGACGTAATAATAGTGTTCTAATAGCAATACTTTACTATTTGTAATTGTAGTTAGTTATCATCTTTACGATGCTAATGTACGTTGCAACTTGTTATGAACACATCAGCCATTATTTTCTCAAATAATGGCTGATGACGGGATTGCGTCTTATATATTGTCTTAGTATCAGACTCGATTTTGTACAGATAAAAACTTGGTCAAAATTCGGCATTCAACTTTAGTGTGCCATCGTGTAAATAGCAGCTAGGAAAATTTAATAAAAATTTGATTTAATAAAAATTTAACAAAATTGATTATTTAAAGATCGCTCTTACACAGTGAATCTATCAATGATATTGTTGAAGCGGAAACAGCTATGTCTAAGGATTCTTGTTTTTAAATTTAACTAATCAGTTCAAACATTTTTTTAAATCAATCAACTGGGTAAGTAGAAAACAACGGTACAGAAAAAAAAAATACCGCTTTTATCGGATATCAGAAACCGAGATCTTTTTGTTTTCCTTATTTATTGAGAATTTAAAAGTAAAGTATGAAATAAGCCTTTGTGTGTAGCTCCTCATGTTTCAGTAATTTTGGGAGTTTTTTTTTAAGCTTATATTATAATTTTATATATTTTTATATTTTATAATTTTTATTAATCAGTTAAAAGTATATAATTTAGTTTAGAATAATACTTAATACTTAACTAATTATTAGAAAAATGTTTTTGTTGTTCATGATTTTACGTTTTCGTTTTATTCTTAAAACCTGTTTCCCTTTATTATACATCGCTTCTTCATGCTTGAATATTAACAAAAAAAAAAATAAAAAAATACGAATTAAACTAGGGTAACCTTTTACATACATATCTTTCTTTCAAATGCAAAATGTATCTAGCTGGGCAAACCTGGGCAAAAATGACTCAGATAATGTAGTTTTGTTTAAAATAAAAATAAAAATAAAAGATTATTGTCGGTAAACTGTTAATTTTAGAAAAAAAATTAAATTTATTGAATAATTTTTTATTATTTTCATATTCGATGTATATATATTATTATACATTCTGTATAGTATTAAAACGTTTAGCTTTCAGATAACAATATTTAACTGAACACTTTTAAGATCAATAAATCGGTTTTTGTATTTACGAAATAGTCATAAATATAAAAAGATCAATGTGTATTAGTGAAAAAAATCCACTTTTCAGCGATTTTAATGATAATCAACTTTTTAATCAGGTTATAAGGACCAATTTTAAGCACTGAAGTTTTATATAGATTATCGAACAAACCAAGACTCGCAATCTGAAAAATACATAAAACTTGCGATAATATTTAGACTTTAGAATAAGTGGCGTTTCTTCTAAACATACGAAACAACAGTAAATGTAAGTAATATAAATGTGTTCTTTGTGTTTTCTTGCAACTTAATACAAAATCATAATCTCTTGTAATACGTCTCTTTCAGACTTTTTTTATTCTTAAACAATATTGTCATTTTTTATAGCAGAACATTAAATAAATTAAAAGTGTGCAAAAGAAAAATAATAATAGTAAAATATACTCTAGAGTAGTTTGATAGAACGAAATATTAGGTTGGCTAAACCATTAAGTAAATTGAACTTTTACACTTTCGCACTTTGCAGAATAAAATAATAAATAGCAGCTTGTCCAAAAAATGACAAATATAAAGACAGTATGAAAGTTTATTGAACACAGTTGTTTATACTACAAAGTGGTTTGTTCTGCATAGTAGATAGTGATTTACAGTTCATCATTATGCCCAGTAGTGCATAATTATGAACTACATAAGTCTACATTGTAATTTGAATATTTTCTGTTCGTCAAAATGTTTATGTTTTTATTTTTACTTTATACTTATGTTAAAAAAATAAATTGTTTTAAGCTCTGATTAAAATCACATTATCAAACTCAAGCGTAAAACATTTATATAAATATATCTGCGGATTACGCAGAAAAATGTAAGCTGAAAACAAGTTTATTTATTAGTATTGCTTTGTTTCAAAAACAAAACAAAAAAAGAGTTTAACAGTGGCATTTTGTTCAACTTTAGAAAGCCGATTAGTATTCGTATTGTTAAAGTTACATAGTCAACTATAAAATAGTTTACAAACATTATTAGGAGAAAAAATCTCAGCATAGTTTTTCTTTTTTGTCACTTCATGGAAACAACTATTTTATAAAATGTTAATGGAAGGATTTTAATTAAAAAGCTGTTGTTATTTTTTTCAGAAAACTTAACGAAGGATAAAAGAACAAAAGAAGTTTGTATAATAGTTGAATTCGGTATGATTACAGTCGATGCATGCGTGAGCAGTAGCCAAAATAACGAGAATTCATCAATACCGCTTTTAACGAGTACTCGATTAAACAGACTTTTAAAAGAACCAGATCATAAAAATATAAATTGTTCAACAAAAAATCTAGCTCAAAATCTTGAAACACGTGAATCAAATTTAAAAAACTGTTGTATTCCATTGTTACGGAAGTCGAAATATCTTAACTGTTGCTGTATACTGCGGAATGGACTTAACAAAATGTCGCCATCTGATTCTCCAAAAATAGATCCTATTATTACGGATTGTCAGATTGATAGACGCCGCGTTTGTGTAAATATAGCAGGGAAAAAATATGAAACTTTTGAAAGTACGTTAGCAAAATATCCAGAAACATTACTTGCATTACCTCAAAGAGAGCTTTTTTTTGATAGTTTAAACGGTGAATACTTTTTTGATAGAAATAGAAAAGCATTTGGTGCTATTTTAACTTATTGTCAAACAGGAGTGCTAGTAAAACCCCCCAATTTAGACGATAGAATTTTTGCTGCAGAGCTTCGATTTTTTGGTTTTGAAGCTGAAAGTGAGGCTCACTTACCAAATGTCTTGAATCATTCAGAAAATACTTTATACCCAACAAATTCATATTTAAAATATATTTGGGAACTATTTGAAGCACCAGATACATCTTTAGGTGCCCGTTTAATTTCTTTGTTTTCTATGTCTGTTATTGTTCTATCAATTGTAATGTTTTGTATTGAAACTTTACCCGATTTTAAGAAACCAGTTTATACAAATGACCCTTTAACAGGAAACAGTTCTATTTCGAGTTTTCAAACAAAAGACGAATACGAAACTGCATTTTTTGCAATTGAATGCGCTTGCATTTTATGGTTTACAGCTGAATATTTGTTAAGATTAATATCTTCACCTAAAAAATTTTTATTTTTGCGCCAGCCATTAAATATTATTGATATTGTTGCAATATTACCATTTTATATTACAATTTTTTTACGTTCCACTAATGCTAACGTTGCAAGTCTTTCAATTCTTCGAGTGTTACGTCTTATACGTGTTTTCAGGATTTTCAAGTTATCACGCTACAGTAAAGGGTTGAAAATACTTGGTTATACTTTTAAGGTTAGTTCCTTGCAATTTTACTTAATTTTACTTAATTTTTAAATTTGTATTTACTTAATTTTTAAGTATATAAAAATATATATTAATTGATAAAAAATCACTTAATTTTTTTACACATTGTTTCATTAATAAAGAATCACTAGAAATAAATACTCAAATTAATAAATATTAATTTCGACATGACTTCTTGTAATTTAGAAATTAAATTATAAGAAGTCAATGTCTTAAATACGGTAAAATATCACACAATTGAAGAATATTTTTATAGTAGCTGATACTACTATAAAAAACTCTTTAGAATTATTTATTTCTGTATTTTTAATATCTTACAATGTAATGTTTTTTAAATATAATTTTAATGGGAAATTTGTATTACTTTATTAGCTTATTTTAACTTTTTATAAAAGAAACTTTTTGTGTCCACATTTAGAAATTAATTTTTTATTTAATAAACATCATTGAATGGCATTTACAATTCTTTCTTACTTTTTATTTTTATTTTTTTGCTGGCATAAAATACAATTTTTGGAAGTAATATAATACGCAGGTGCTGTTTTAAGAATAGACCGATTCAATTTAAATTTTTCATTTTTTTTATCTTTTAATTCCTATATGTACTTTGTCAGGGTTTTTTTTGCAGCCTTAGCTAACTTTACCTGTATTTCGGTTAAAAAGTTTTTGTAGTTTATTTGAGGACAGGAAGTGTTTATCCACTAGTTTAAAAATACTTTTCCTATGTTAGTGGTCCTATGTTAGTGGTCCTATGTTAGTGGTCCTATGTTAGTGGTCCTATGTTAGTGGTCCTATGTTAGTGGTCCTATGTTAGTGGTCCTATGTTAGTGGTCCTATGTTAGTGGTCCTATGTTAGTGGTCCTATGTTAGTGGTCCTATGTTAGTGGTCCTATGTTAGTGGTCCTATGTTAGTGGTCCTATGTTAGTGGTCCTATGTTAGTGGTCCTATGTTAGTGGTCCTATGTTAGTGGTCCTATGTTAGTGGTCCTATGTTAGTGGTCCTATGTTAGTGGTCCTATGTTAGTGGTCCTATGTTAGTGGATACATTTTTGCAATTTGGTGGGTTGAGCCAAATGTTTCTAGTTTTTCTTTTCTTTTCCTCTTTATTTTGATTTTCATTCTGTTTTCAGAGTTAAAATTTAGTTCGGAATTTTAAAAATTGCTTATTTTAAGGACATCTTAATAAATACGTTGGAAAGATTGGGAAGGTTGAAAGGCTTAAATGAACTTTCAGAAAGTTTAGATGTGAAATCAAGAAAATTCACAATTTTTAAATTTATGCCTTTTTAAATTTGATAATTATTTTGATTCAGCCTAAATGACTATATAAAATATCGAAAACGTTAGTTATTTTCTTAAAAAAATAAAGTCGTAACCCGTTAGCAAAACTACTAAAGTTTTCAGATAGACGTATAAAAATTTGCTTTCAAAACAGACGTATGAAGTTTTAGAAAGAAGTAAGTGTAATCTTATATATTGAGAATAAATAACAGCTTCAGTGTAGGTTTTCTAAATAAAATTAACTTTAATTTTAATTTGTCTTTCTTATTGTGGACTTCATAAATATTGATACCTTTATAAAGTCTCTTGATTGCTGGTTCCACAACCTGGTTTCTCTGGGAGATACCACAAACTGGTTTTTTTTGGAATTTTTTAAATTTGGGTGCTTCTTAATACTCAAACTTTTTGCACACAATTTAATTATTTTTGTGTGATCCTAAAAAAGTTTACATTAATTCTGATAATCATCAGCCAATAATCCGGATGACAATGGTTCAAAATTACGAGATCACTTATTCGTTCCTGTTCCATAGTTGAGCCCCCCCCCCCCCAAAAAAAAAAAAAAAAATGTTGAGCTTCAATTTACTGAAAGAACACTCATTTGGGGCCACTGTCACTGGAATTGAAGCACAAAAATACTGAAAAAATTTCTAAAGAGTTCCCCAAACTTTATTTCAGAAATTTTGTTTAATAAATTGAATGGGGTAAGAAACTTTTCTTCAAGTTTACAGCATGAATTTGTTTTATGTGGAGCATGATACAAATTCATATTGTTTGTTTGTAGTTCATACTGTTCTAAATTCATACAAATTCTTCAGTCAGTTCATTTTCATTCACGTCACATATATCTAAAATATTTTTGCTAAAAATGGGATCAGGATCTCTTGATCTTTGCTTTAGACAGTTTATATTTCTAAATAAAAAAGAATATAGCAAAAAAAATTTTAATTGTTGTTAAACAAGCACCACCAATCAGAGAATCAAGAATGTGATAAAAAACCGTTTTCCGAAATGTTGCCTTCTCTCCTGATTGTGAACCTTCAATTTTATCTCCAGCAAAACCTTTTGGCTTCACTTTTCGGTGGAAAAGCATTGGAAATGCAGTACTGATATTTATATTATTTATTTATACAGCTAATTTGGCTACTTCCGAAATTGTAGATCTCTCCTCCCAAACAAATTTGAGTTGGTTGATCAATTTTTTAATATTTTTTACCTCAATATCAATATCTTGCCTGAATGATCTGGTTGTAGCAATCAACCAATGTGAAGACTTTCATTCAAATTTCAGACATGAGAACACATTTAAAGGAGCTCATATGTTTCATGGTACCTTTATTCTCTACTCTCTAATCTGTTTTTATTTTAGGCGTAAGATTCAAGCTCTGAACTTCCTCTAAAAATTCAATGATTTGGCTTAGGTGATTAGAGAAAGAATAAATGCTGTCAGGTCTCTCAATCTATCGTGTTTCAGATTGTCCATGCATAGACACACAGTAGACTCTCTTTTGAACTATTTCCCAGCGCTGTGGACCAGCAGAAAAGATAATGTAAGCTGCTTGAACAGTTTCAAAGAAAGTCTCAGCTTTTGAATAGCTTTAAACAGCATTCTGTTAACACAAATTCAGGGAATAAAAATTACAACGTGAGAATGTAGAAAATGTTTTTTTTTTTGTAAGATTGCTTGAACACCCTTTTATTGTTCTGACATGTTGGCTCCATTATCAAAACCTTAGCCATGATGGTCTTTGAAAAAAACTTTTAAAGTTTCTAAAGTTTCCAGAATTTATCCTGCAATATCAGATTCACCTTTTTGTCACAATTTGCAAAGATCAAAAAATGCCTTTTCAATGAAAGGTTTTTAAACATTTATTTTCATGAAGGGAAAAGGCGTCTATGATGGCATAGCGCCTATGATGGCATACCACTCAAATTTCCATAAAAATTGGTTTTGATGAAAAGTGATAAGACCTACATGACTATACTGACTTTACATTAGTTTTAGTGAAAATATGTCTCTAGTGCACGAATATTGTTTTTATAATCAACAAAAATTGATTTTGGGATGTGCTGTTGTAGTTTTATTCCCTTCATATATTGTGATTTTATTATTAACTGTGCTGAAAGGGAATTTTAATGTATTTTATATCCAAGTTTTGTGCATTTAGTGGAATACTAACTTTAACTTTATCTTTTGAACAAGGCAGACACAGATTGATTTAATGAAAATGGTAACTTCTTCCCACGATGGCATACTGACGAATTGGGTGTGTTGCAATATTGACGAGTTGGGAAAACCTTTTTTTTATAAGAAAAAATTATTTTTAAGTAAAGTAAAAAATAAGCAATGCTCCAATCGTTTTTTTTTTTATATTTTAAAATAATATTACGCGCATTGCATATTTCTGATGCTGATAAAGACGCAGTAACTTACTTCCCAGTGGGCATGCATCGTCCGGGGGACATCTGGACGTCCAGGAGACATATTACGGACGACCTCCTGATGACGCTTGCCCACTGGGTTTTACCTGTACTTTCGCAGGCAATATTGGCATAGTTTATATAGCTATGAATAAATCAGTCTTATAGTTGTATTAAATTATTTTTGTTTAAATAATTTCTAGCCTTATATAGATTCCAATATTTTTTGCAACTTTTGTTGATATATAATCAATAGGAAATTTCCATGACAGATTTTCATCATAAATACCAAGGAACATAATATAAAGGAATCTTTATTAATTTCTACTCTATCGATAAAAAATTTAGACAGAAGCCTTTTTTCTGTATTGAGAAACGAAAAAGAATCTATTTTGTTTTATTTTTACATTTAAATAATCCATTTATTTATTTGTCAATATTTAAGGTTAATTTATTGCATTATTAGTCGCTTATTCATATTAAAAAAAGTTTGTTTATGTAAAAAATAAATTGGTATCGTCAGCAAACATGATGCTCATAAGATCAGAAGAATTATTTGAATCATTAATATATACTAAAAAAAGGATAAAACCCTGTGGAACAACAAAATTTATTTAGTTAATATTTAATTTTTGAGACTTATAGAATTTAGTTTGTCCCCATTAGTTTTTAAGTAAAATATCGTGATTGACTGTGTCAAAAGCTTTTGATAAACCAATAAAAACACCAAGTGTATATTGTGGTTTACCAAAAAAACTTTGAGACTTCACCCGTAATTTTCTCCTCTAAATGTTTTGAGTCATTTTTATATTTAGTAATTAAATTCGAGTAATAACTTTTTATTTAATTTTTACAAATTTTGTCAAATAGAAGTTTGGAGTTTTTGTATATTTGAATTGGATTTGTTTCTTATATTTTAGCGTTTTATAAAACGCTAAAATATAAGAAACAAATCCAATTCAAATATACAAAAACTCCAAACTTCTATTTGACAAAATTTGTAAAAATTAAATAAAAAGTTATTACTCGAATTTAAAAAGGTATTAAAAATCTTCAAAAATTAAACAAATATGGTATATATATATACCATATTTGTTTAATTTTTGAAGATTTTTAATACCCTTTGGTAATCCAAGGACTATTTAAGGTTTTTGATTTCACAGTTTTTTCAGAGGATGGAAAATTTGCATCTTACACCGTGTGAAGTGTATTAAAAAACTCATTATAGATTACATTTATATCATCATTGAAGCTTCTATGTTTCCAGTTTAATAATGATAATTGGT